ACCATGAGAGAAAATTAGCCTTTGCCCCTGGGTACTTAAAGTTAAGTTTGGCATCCTAAATAAGGGTCTTCAGGGTCGCCGATCTCACGGATTGTGATCTATCCGCAACCCAGTCCCATCCACGCCACTCATCGACGTCAGAGAAGTTCCCAACTTTAGGTGACTGGATCATCATAGAAGAAGCTTTTTGAAGTTTATATAAGGACCAGGAATCAGGCATTCTTGAAACATATCCCCAACTATCACGCCACAGAAACATACAATCTATCCTAAGAATCTTCAACTCTCAGACAAAATGCATTTATCAACTCTTTACCTTCACTCTTCCCTTCTCCTAGCTTCATCGTTTCTCTCAAAGGTGATTGCAGCGCCTTCCAACAAACTCCTGGACACTGACCTCGCTGTCAATGGCTTTGGTCTTCAAGACGAGAGCGGAGACTCTGATGGTGTTGCCGCAAAGGCCGAAGTCAGCGTTGATAACGACTACAAGGTCCCCAGTGACTACAACAAGCCTCGTGTCCTAGAGGCCAACATTGACGTCACTCGATTGGGCCTTGATCCCGTCATCTTTTATCCCGATAACGATGATGAGGAAACAGAGGTTGAGGACACTGATGAAGAGAAGCGCAGCATCTTTGCAAGACTCTTCACTAGGGCTTTGACTTCAGATAAGAAGGAGGCTCTACGCCGTCACAATGTTGCTCGCTCCAAGGTTAAGGTCAAGGCCATTGTGTGGGATTCCAAGCTTGAGTCAGCTGCTACAGCTTATGCAAAGAAGTTGGCCAAGGCTGGTAAGCTGAAGCACTCTGCAGGAAAGGACCGTCCCAACCAGGGTGAGAATCTCGCATATGCTTGGGCAAGCAATGGATTCAAGAACCCCATCACTGCTGGTGCTCAGGGCTGGTAGGTTTACTCTATCCTCACATAACACACAATTAACTAACTGCATGAGGTTGAACGAGAAGAAGTACTACAAGGGAGAGACCATTCCCAAGGGCAACTTCTCCATGTATGGTCACTACAGTAAGATAATAAACCCGAATCATCTCACTATACGTGACTAATCGTTCGTCAGCTCAATGTGTCTGGAAGACTTCAACAAAGATTGGCATTGGTGCCGCTAAGGACTCCAAGGGTGCTTGGTACACTGTTGCTCGATATTCTGGTCCCGGCAACGTTGTCGGCCAGAAGCCTTATTAAGCAATAAAATACTGACTTGAAAAGACATTACTGGATCGAATATATGCCCGGGGTAGTTGAGAAGGGACCTGGTGGACGTTGCTGGCGAGCGCTGACCTGATACCTTCTTTGATTCATGCCATTTCCTCGAAAGTGGTTATATGTATTACTATTAGAATACTTACATTCGCTTACGTGTCACGAATTATGTAAAACAAATCGATTTGTTAAACCAGTTACCTTTTCCCTTTTTGTATTGCGTCAATATCATGGGCTTTCTCAAGTGCCCTTCTAATACAAACAAGCCAACATCTGTGTTTGTGCACGGCGCAGACCAACAACAAATACATAATGTTATGAATCTATAAAGCTCATAAACCTTGGTGCTTTTGTCCGTTCGCTAATATTTAGAGGTTATAATGCACGGTAATTAATTTGGAGTCCGTTGAAGGCGCGGGGTCTTGCAATGATTGTGACATCCGTTATCGGGATCACGCAAGAGTCTCAGCAAGTCATAACTCGATTTAGATCCTGCTATTGCCGAAGACGTGATTATTCGTATCTAAAGTGGCATCAAAGACAGGAAGGCGTGATTGGACATGCGGGGTTTCGTTAACATAAATATCGAAGTCATTCGAACTTGGAATAGGTTTGCATGATGGCATTTGCATATACAGCTCAACGTACAACCATTGCAAGACTTCCATCTCCTGAGAATTTAAAAATCAACCTGTTATTTTGATCTGGCTTATTTCTTTCTTTTGTAGCCACTATGGCGTCCAACCCAGCAACAAACGAGAGTACCACCGACAACAGTCACAATGATCTCAAGAAGAAAATCATCATCAATGCCTTTGACATGTCAACCATTGGACACTTATCGCCAGGCCAATGGAAGGTCAGTACCACTACACTCTTTGTATCAGATTGATGCTGAACACAAATAGAACCCGGTAGACAAATCAGCCACCAAGCGCGATCTCCAGTATTGGATCGACCTGGCCAAGCTACTTGAGAAGGGAGGCATCAACGCCTTGTTCCTGGCAGATACCTATGGCGGTTATGATACTTATGAGGGAAAATTGGATAACTGCATTCGCCGTGCAGCCCAATGGCCCATGACAGATCCAACTATTCCCATCAGTGCCATGGCAGCTGTGACGAAGAACCTATCTTTTGCCATTACCGCTTCAACATCCTTTGAGCCGCCTTTTCTGCTAGCAAAGCGCTTCTCGTCATTGGATCACTTCACCAGAGGAAGAATCGGTAAGCATTGAATGGCAAAATAGCATAAATGAGGGGCTAATAATTCGGAAGGCTGGAACATTGTCACCAGTTGGAAGAAGGCAGCTTTCAAAGCCATTGGCCTGGACAGTCCTATTGCTCATGACGAGAGATACGAACAGGCAGATGAGTACTTGCGTGTTCTATATAAGTATGTCGCCCTTGTTGCTTTTGTATAGCTTGATACTCAACTTAAAGCAGACTCTGGGAAGGCTCTTGGGCAGATGATGCCATCTCCCCTGATCCAGAAAATGACAGCTATGCGGATCCCGACAAGATCAGGACCATCCACCATCATGGCAAGTTCTTTGACTTGGACACTCGCCACATTGTTGACCCTTCACCTCAACGTACGCCATTCTTGTTCCAAGCTGGTACCTCATCGGCTGGTCAGACGTTTGCAGCAACTCATGCAGAAGGCATCTTCGTGTCTTCCCACTCACCCAAACTGCTCAAGCCAAAGATCCAAGCAATTCGCAAGCAGGCTGCTGAACTGGGCCGAGATCCTCAATCACTAAAGTTCTTTGCGACTTTCACTCCCATAGTTGGCCGCACTGATGAAGAAGCACAGGAGAAACTCAAGGAACTAAATAAATACGCATCGACCATTGGTGGACTAGTTCTCGTCAGCGGATGGACTGGCATCGACTTGTCCAAGGTCCCGCTCGATCAGGAACTCACCTCTGCGGACTCTCTAGAGCAGCACAAGGTTCAAAGTCTTCTTGATGCATTCACTGTCACTAGTGAACATGTTCCAAAGTGGACGCCAAGAGTCATTGCTGAGAAGGCCGGCATCGGTGGACTTGGCCCAGTCTCTGTTGGAAGCCCTCAGACTGTTGCTGATGAGATGGAGCGTTGGATCGAGGAGGGAGACTTGGATGGATTCAACGTTGGCTACGTCACTACACCTGGAACTTTTGAGGATTTGGTTGAGCTATTGGTGCCTGAGCTCCGAAGAAGGGGTTTGTATCATGAGATACCTAGTGAAGGAGGCCATAGTCTGCGAGAGAATGTCTACGGAATTGGACAATCCAAGCTCCGGGATGATCACACTGGGTCAAAGTATAAGTATGATGTGTTCAAGGAGGAATAATCTTTGGTCAATAGCATAGAGGTTCAGCTGCTGGCGATGCCTTGGGCGTGCAGTCCACAAGGTAAAACACAATCCTCATCCTATCCCAAAGTTTCAGGATCCAGACTCTTTGACCTCGCTTCATATCAACATCTTAACATCCTGAAGATTCATCAGCGCTCGTGATGAGAAGATATCCGACCCAGCCGCCCTATCCGAGGAGATCCTAGGCATGAGAGTGATTCAGGAACTGTTTCATTCATTGTCGCACGGCCATTTACCTTGCCCCCAGGTTTTTCAACGTTTCTGCATCATATTCACGAATACTTTCAGGAACCTGCTGACAGTAGTTTTACCCCGATGAGGAAGTAAAGGGCCAAGGTTGGAGATGATAGCTTGTTGCTGAATGGTGAGGTCATGAGGTCACCAGGCACTGAATCTTCAACAGGGGTCCAGGGGCCGTGCCGCCTGTTGGCAGCTGTCAAGCGACTGGATGCCACCGAAGTTTAGTTGCTGCTACGAAGTTGACGATTTTTCATTCATTGAAGCTACCTTCGTTACTCTGCAGGTGCAGCCGCACGTAAATTTTCAAGATTTGACATGATAAACTGTAGGAAACTGTTTGCTATGCGATTGTCGGCCTCATGGCCAATACTCAAATGATCCTCATTGACCTGGACCTGTAAGCCTGTGTGGCCTAAAAATCTTCAAGCCCCGCCTCGTTAGCTCCCTTCTGCAGGCTAGGGTACAGAAACACTACAGTTCCAGAACCTTAATGCGCCGATGGAACAAGTTTTGCAACATTATGCCACCCCGACCTTTCTGAACTCCTGAGTTGGTTCGAAAGCTTTTATCAGACTCTCGTGATAGGATCGCTAAGAATTAGTCAACCAACAACAGATGATCGCATATCGCAAGACGTTCTAGAAATTATTTAGGCTTCCCTGCACCCGCTGTGACGCAGGCTTAGTTATAGCGCCTACAGCTCTTGGTCCACCCGCCACGTTGCGCTGAGCATTGTCTTACCCGACACACCCGACACCTTCAGTGTTAAGAGGTTCAATACAAAATTCTTCATGGTCTCATTCGTTGTCATGACGTTTGTCAAGTTTCAGCAGGATCACGATCGACCAAAATATAACGGATAGTTGTAATGCCGAACTATCTTTCACATGCGCTCAGCTTCGAAGGCGCCGATTGTCCCGGGAGATCAGCTCATTCACTGCTGAAAGAGTGGTTAGCACTTCGCCAACAACAACAAGCCTCGGCACTCAACGTTTGTGAACGGTGGGACCGTCTGAGCGTAAAATGATCCAATCAGAATATTCAATTAGTTTGCCATTTGAGCTATTCACTGTCGAAAACAGGGTAGGACCAGCAGGTGACATTCTGTGCAAATTTCCATCAAAAACGGTCAAAGATTCCAATGTAGAGTAAGTATATACAAGTACAAAACACCACCACCATGAACGACGAGCATACGAAAAGTCGAGTCGCTATTATAGGCACGGGTCTCGCCGGTCTTAGTAGTGCTTATCTTATTAAGGGAGACCGTTATAGGGTGACGTTGTTCGAACAGGTGCGCCACGTCGTCAACGACAGCCGAGATCCTTGGCCCTGGGTTTGAATCCTTTCGCTAACATTGTCTCTTCCTTTCAGGGCGACAGAATATCTTTCGATTCTGCTTCTGTTACGATCAAGAACGAGAAATACGACGATGCCGAACGAATCGACCTGCCAATGCGCGCGAGCGCCGACGGGTACTACCACAACTTGATGCGCATGTATCAACATCTACAAATCCCGCTGCATCCAATCAAATTCCTTTTTGTCTTTGCAAAAGCAGCCACGAGCGCCGATGGAACAGTCCCAGTCAAGGGAAGCGATAATGAGACATACTTCATTCATGCGTCCAACTTACACCAGACACCGCCGCCGTGGCCGGGCAATCGCGGTGTGATTGCGCACTTTATCGAGATTATCTTCCTGATTGTGTGCCAATTCTGGTTCACGATTGCATGCTTCCTTGTCGCGCCGCTGAAGACCACATCTTCCGGATACAGCGAGACCGTCGCCGAATATTTCGATCGCATACGTTTACCCCGACGATATACGTCGCGTTATCTGCTTCCGCTTCTGAGCGGTGTAGCGACGTGCACACACGAAGAGCTGCTCCAATTTTCCCCGCGAGCGACGTGGTCAACTACAAGAAGCTTTCGCACGGCAAGCAGCATTACGCTGTGTGCGGCGGAGTTTCACAGGTCCAGGCCAAATTAACGGAGGGGTTGGAGGATGTCAACCTCAATAGTCGAGTGATTGAAGCTGTGCCTCAGGTCGATGGTACCGTGCTGGTTCGTTGGCAATCTACCGTTGACGCATCCGGGCGCATCCACGAGCAAATCTTCGACCGCGTTGTCCTCTCCGTCTCGCCTGATGTCGCTGGCCGTATCTTCAAACCGCTGGGGTCTACATTGGCGAAGCTTCCGACTCGTCAAGTGGAGAGTTCTGTTTTGAAGCCGGAGAAGGCGGGAATCAGCGTCGTCGACACCGACAACGCAGACTCCAGCCAATCCATCGCTTGCATGCACCATTCGAAAGACACCTCAGCAGCCCAGGTCTTGACTCTGCGAACAATGTTCACCGACGTGGGAAGCCCTCGCACAGAGGCTCTTCACGCCATGCCCAGTGGAGTCCTTGTCAGCACATGTCCGCTACGCGAAGAGGCGCAGTCAGAAGCAATCAAGAAGGCCAAATTTACTAGAACCCTGCGAAACACAGAGGGCCAGGCCCTCGTTCAGAAATTGCTAGGGGATTCGGGAACGAAGAAGAGCGAGGATGGTCAGGCCATGGCTTGGGTCAATGGTCAGGACAATGTGTGGATCGCTGGTGCTTGGTGCTGGGATGGCATGGTGCTGCTGGAAGGATGTGTCGTGTCGGCCATTAGGGTAGCTCAAGATTTTGGCGTAGCGATTCCGTGGGAACAGAATTAATGACGAATAACGACTAGAATAATCGATAAATGCAGATTCCTCTTTACATTATCGCCTTTTTTTCACTAATCTACTCGCTTCAACTGCCGTAACTTTAATGTATTCACTCTGGAATTAGTCATTTAGCGAAGTTGTAGTTAGTGGGTGAAATCAGTGCGTAAATACAGCGACCGTGAGTGAAATGTCACCATCTTCTCTCATCACAATCAACAGCCGTTAGCTCACGGCGCGGACCGCAATCGCCATCGACACCATGTTCTTCGATCAAGACAGTTTTGGTCTTGGCTTTGCCGCAGGGCTCGTCACGACCCTGGCCATCGCTGGCATCATTGCTTTGGTGGTGATGCGAATGAGCGATATCTACGGCCTGGGACACTGGAAGCTCAACATCACGACGCGACCACCCTCCATGTGGATGAACGTGGGATACTGGTAAGTCCAGCCACGTTTTCTGCAGCCTCAATCACACATCCATTGACATTTGCCTCCCAGGAAAACTCATACAGGCGAGCCAATTGACACGCTCCCCGAGGCTGCCTCTGCGTTGCTCGAGCAGGTTGTGAGCGCCGCCGGGCTGTCGGGTGATGCACCTGGTAAAGCTAGTCCTCGCGGTTCGCTCGCCATTCTAGATCTGGGGTTCGGATGTGGTGACCAGACTTGGCAATTGGCGAGGACGGCTACGGAGCAGGGCTGGAGGGATTTTCGCTATGTTGGGCTTACGCTCAATGATGCGCAGGTCCAGACGTCGCGACGCAGGATTTATCGCGAGCTGTCTGAGGCGGGGGCTGCATTTGATGCGGAGGCGTTCAGTCTCTTCCGCGCCGATGCCGCAAAGCCACAGACTTGGAGCCCCAAGATCAAAGAGGCTGTTTATTCACTGGCTGACGAGAAGTTTACTGAGCGGTGGCTGCTTGCTCTCGACTGCATCTACCATTTCTCTCCGTCCCGAAAACCCGTCCTCTCACATGCCGCCAAAGAACTCGACGCCAATTACATGGCATTCGATCTCCTCCTCAACGAGAAGGCCTCCACCAAGGACATCTGGAGGGCTAGACTCATCGGAAAAATGATGGGCTGCCCACTCAGAACCTTCCTTTCGGAGACAGAGTACAGAGATCAATTGGTGGAGTGCGGATATGACCGTAACGAGATCACGATTAAGGAGATCACAGACGATGTCTTTTCGGGCCTGGTCAAGTTCCTCGATCGCCAAGACAAATTGTTAGCAGAATACGGCATCACAATGGGCGGCTTCAAATTGGCAGGGAGATTGTTCAACTGGTTCGACAAGTCCCGTGTCGTAAGAGCCGTGGTCGTCGTCGCTCGCACCAAGAGCAAGACAGGATAGGGAAATAGCACCGTAATCACAGTTACCAAAAAGCGACATTAATTAATTAGCTTTTCTCTTGTCAGATTTTACATGCAGTACATACTTTGTGCTGTGCATCCCACCTTATTCTTATTCTTAATCCTGGTCCTATATCCGCGTGGGCTTCCACGTCCCTCCCCTCCCCTTGCTTTTCTGGCCATCGCGTGGTTTGGTATGGGTTGTTTTACGATTACCGTTGTCGTCTTTGCTTGCCCCGCTCTCCCCGCTTGCTGTTCCTGAATATCGAAATATAACGTCGTTTTGTGGGCGATTGGTAAATAGTCTGTGTTTCACTAAACGGTCTGATGGTCGATGCGCGGACGGACCTTGGGATCCCAGGAACCACGGCGCTGGAATCGCGGACCCGCGGGCTAGGCTGGGAGCTGAAGTAAAACAGCCGGGGTGATGCTTAGGTTAGTGTTGTTCGCGAGTGAGGCGAATAATACAGTGACATTGAATGAGGAACTGTGAATCGGGGTCGGATATTGGGACTTCGGCCGATAATCTTGTGGACTGCCTGTGTCAGCGAACGTACGACGGGAATCGCAGATAGAGTGATGGGCTCCAGTACAGATGCATCGTTAATCAGAGTTGATCGCTGACCCGTCCTCCCTATATCTCAGCTTATAATGTTCCTTTCAATCTCATTAATTTGCGGAATGTTCTCGGCCCCGGGCTTCTCAACGGTCCTCGATCCACAATCAGTTTTGTTCCCCGACACCAATGTGATAATCTACCGATCCGATGCAGACTGTACTGTACTACATGTGCATCACGTCACCAGGATCATACATACTCAAACAGGTCACGGACAATGATCGCATTCCCCCCCCTCTTCCCTGATCAAGCTTGCCCCGCGCAAGCAAAAGAAAGTAATGAACAGGCTGGTTAGTGACATACAGCCTGGAACCTTTCTCGTTCTTCTAAAAACAAACCACATGGCCCGCAAGGACAAAATCGTCCAAGCGTCCTTGTCAGGGGTGACCGATCAAGGGTTTAGTTAAACCACGTATAGGAAGCCTCGACATATTCCCGAGACAGGGGCCTCATCCTGCAATAGGAATCACTTCGTCGTTTCACTTTTTTATCTGCACGACGAAAAGAGACAGCGAAAAAGCCACTTGGCAGCCCCGGACGGTGGGCGGGTCCTAGTTTTACGATTTCCTCGGGCTGATAGGCTCTTTTCGAGCCCTGCACCGTGTGCGTGAAACTGCCTTTTCGTGATGATGGTGTCAGGTCCGTGGAGTTGGTTTCCACAAAGCAACATCCTGCATCCTAGACCCGATGGCGAAAAAAAGCATAACTCATGTTTCGGTAGATATTAAGAGTGTTTTAATGGCCTGAGCTAAGTCTATTGCGTCAATTTCGGGTTTCAAGAAACAGAAAATACGAAAGTCTGGTCTGTAACGAGTACACGCGGCATCTGAGGCCTTGGACTTTTCGACATCGAACATGCTCACCACGCGGCCCCAGTGTCCGATTAAGGTAGACCCCGTCCCGTATTAGTTCGCATGGGTCACTTACCCAAGCGAGTGTTAGGCTTATCCCAAGCAGGGGCGAACACATCTCGCGTATGCTCGTCACCCAGCAGGACCAGGGGGTGCTGGGCTGGCCTAGAATCCTTCTTTTACATTTGTGGCTGCCCCGACTTTTTCCAGCTCTTCTTGATACCTTTTCTGTTTGCTGTTGGTTTCTCGAATCTGTACCTGCATTCGCCAAACGAAACATCGGGTATCTTGTTGCCGCCGAGGAGGAAATGTGAGCGATGAAGCTAAGGCTTCGCGACGACCAAGATGACGGACCCGTCCATAGCTTTGTCAATCCCTATGTCGAGTTGAACGCCGGGCTGTGGTCGCTGTTTGCAGGTGCGACTTTCTTTCTGTGGTTGAGGCTATACGTCAAGATTACGAGGAGACATGGAATGTGGTACGATGATTATATCCTTCTGGTATCATGGGTGAGTACACATCGTCCTAGCATATCGAAGCTGCATCCTAACAACTCCAGCTCATCCTTCTCGCCAACAATAGTCTTATCGTCTGGGAATTCGGAAACGGCTATGTTCTCAAGGACTCATCGCAACAATGGGACGACAAAATGCACATACTCATCAACATCTCGTCATGCGGAACATTGATCGGCCAAGCGTTGACAAAGACAGCTTTCGCCGTGACACTATTACGAATGAGCAATCGCTGGCAGAAATGGATACTGTGGTTTTGTATTGCCAGCATGAACGCCTACATGATCGTCAAGGTGTTTTTCCAGTGGGCCAAAGTATGCGGCAAGGATACGTACGACAACTGGTATCGATTCGACTTCTGCTTGGAATCCAAGTTCCGAAATGACTTCAAGGAGGGTGGCAACAGTGAGTGACCAGGCGCGACGAGATGTGCTGGAGAATACTAACGTGGTACAGTCTACAACATCATTATGGATTTCGTGTTTGCATGCTTCCCTTGGCTTATCACCAGAGGGCTGGAGATGAAGAAGGCCGAGAAGATTGGCCTTTGCTTCACAATGAGCCTGGGAATGATGTAAGTCAAGGAAGAACGATGATCATGGACAACAGGCCTTTAACCCTAATCTAGTATTGCTATCGTCTCGGCTATTCGTGTTAGCTGGAAGGATCAAGGAAATGGTCGTGATGCCTACTACATCTGTAAGTCATCTTGTATCAGTTTCACAAACCTAGCTCACAAATACAGGGCGCAATGGCATGTCACAAGTTTGGTACTCATCAGAAGTTGCTGGAACAATCATGGTGCAATGTATCCCCATTCTCCGTCCCATCCTCAAAAAGTTCCATACATCATACACCTCGCGTCGTCTCGACTCACAAACCGGTGAACGCAAAGGCTCCGGCTGGACGTGGACACGCAGTAGCAAGCACATCTCCACCGGGCCCCTAACACCTGGTCATCCCCCCATTCTCAACAACAACCCCGACGGCATGGAGCTACGCAACATCCCCGAGGAACAAGAACCAGCAGAGTTCGATTTCTGGGGCAAGAATGATCCACCTTCACCAGATGATCTCGAGGATGGAAGACCTGATATCAAGTACAAGTTCAACAGGGAGGAGATGAAGTTCACACGAGATGATAGCTGGCCCCTGGGAGGTGAAAGTGAGAGCGCAAAGAGTGCGAGAAGTATCGAGTTGGCACACTCGAATATGGGATTGGCTGTTGAACACGAGGCCGCACAGCAGGGACTGTCGCCACCACCGCCTCGAAGGACATGAGAGAGGCTCATACTGAAATTTACTTGTTTGTATAATAATAGGGTTAGAACATTACTTAGACACGACGTTATGTACATATCTTTTGTTACTCCAGTTTCATGCCTGCATGCCAATGGCGATTGCTGTATTAATTTCATAAAAAGCATGCAGATGATCAGCATTATCAACTCGATCATCATGCACAGTTCTGATCCATGGTTTGGGCCACTCATCTCGCCTTGTAATCCGAAGAATTCTCGTCCCTTTGGGCCGATGAGAATAAGCAATTATTCTATGTCTAAAACTCGGATAGCATCTATCCGCTCACACCTGCTGTTATAGCAAATCTACTATCATTATGCTCTCATCCACCTCTTCTATCAGTCCTCACATGCAGACCATATCCATACGCAATGCATCTTACAGCCTTGAATGCTCCTGCATCGGCATGACCGAAGCTGTTTCTAGATATCTGATATCCGGCAGCCCCTGGTTGACCCAGCCAACCATAGTCTTCTCATACAACCGCCGTTGCTCCTCTGCCGATGGAGCGGGACCCATCATTCCGCGAGCCAATCTGCTCTCCTCGGTCTCGACAAGCCAAGCATTCTCGTCCCGCTCGTCGTTTTGAAACACATATCGCCTTGTCTCGCAGTTCTTCCAGCCTGTACCGCACCCAGTGGTGCTGTTCTCCCAGTCGTTGCTGAAGTAGTGCATGAAGCTTCCGTGAGCAACAAGAGCAATGTGGATGTCCTCGTTGGTATCTTGACTCAAAGCCAGACCCTTTTCTCTGAGTATTCTTCTTACAGTGCGAGCACGTGCTGCGCAGGCACCTGTGACGGGACTGTTTGGCCCATAAAGGTTCTTATCATTCCAGCCCTCAGGTACCATACTCAGGTCAACAGGCCAATCATTCCGCAACGTCATCTCCTTGAGAAGAGCAGGATCTGTTCCGATATCGCAGCCGTGATCAGAAATTTCCTGTGCCTCAGGGATAGCAAGAATTTCCTGTGTCTGAATGGCATCATCAAAAATTAGACTCGTGGTATGCAGGGTCCGCATCATCGGCGATGATGCGATGAGTTTGAACTTGGACTGATCCTGAAACGAGGCTTTTCGTCGTTCGACGCATTGTTGTTGGCCAAATGGCGTTAGTGCGGGGTCCCTCAGGTGAAAGAACTCTTCACCCAGGTTGTGATAGCCCTGGGCGTGCCGGACTGCGTGGATGATGATTTTGCCTGACATTTTGGTGTATATGTATATGACTCTGTGGAGAGGATGTGGAGGAGATCAAAGCCATGGGATATCCATTTTTTATATCCAGAAGATACTTCCTTGGCCACCAAGTGACATCAACGTCTTCGGCATTATTCATGTAAAAATTCTTGACTTTGATGCCCCATCGAGGCGCGTCAAGGCCTGTTAGTGCGTAAACCCGTTTCGGCAATTGAACACGAAAGATCTGCAAACGTGGCAGATCCGCTCAACGTCACAGGCCGTGAGATTTTAACGCGCCAATTATTAAGCTGGCTACAGCGCTTCAATTACTATTGCATTGCGATTTTCAGGTTGTTTCAGGGCGTACCGACGAAATCTGTGCTCTGGGTTGCGTCCTTGGGCCACTGAGAATAAACTTTGAGAGGGACAAGTGCTTGGACATAGCTTGTGAAATGGCTATTAACCGTGTGCAGGGATTTCTGTCACCGTTGACAAACGGAAACGTGCGCCGGAGACATTTATCGGCGGTTGGTATCAGGCACGTCTCAATTGGTGTTACTCTACGCCCTACGGCATCCAACTCCCGAGCATCGCGCTCGAGCTTCCATTTTTGTAAATACACACGACACATCTGACTTCTCTCTGCGGGGAAAGACTGCATCACGTTGGGGTAATTCAGGTGAATCCACGTAAAAGAATCCATAACGTGGACGAGCGATTGGTGACGAGCGCGCACCGACGGGACGGCACGACTCCGATAAACGGGAAGCTATGGCCACGTCACAAGCGTTATCGGTGCCTATTCATAGCAACATGAAGCTATCACTCATACTTCCCAGTGCCGTTTGATGCCACTTGATGTTAGCACCCTCTCTTTTCCTCAAAGCCCAGAGCTCTTTTACGAGATGCGTCATCTGTGACCAGATCGCTAGCTCTGATCTCTCCTCAAAAAACGCAAGAGTATGAAGCATTCGCTGCTGCATTGTCGTATCGCCTGTCTCAAATGCTATAATAGCAACGGGCCAGATCATTGGTGAAAACCGTTGACTTGTACATGTCGGCAGAGCTTCAATATGAGTGAGTGATTTCTCAACAAGCGGACGCACCGCATCCATTGGCATGTCTTTCAAATTGCGTTTCATGTGAACTAGCGCGGCGTAGTAGAAGATGCAGCCGTGATGGTAGATCAAATCGGCATAGTCTTTTGCCGTTGTCGTCTCAGGTCTATTAGGTGCTGATAGATAAAGTTCCATCTCTAGTCGGTCTAGTTCATCGGCAGAAGGATCACTTTCAGTAGAAGACCGTTTCCGCATTTGAAGGGCATTCATTGCGCGAAGACCTTCGTACACTGGCTGAGGAAGACCAAACGACTCATAGAGAGTATACGGCTCAGGCTGAGGACCAAAGTCGTTGGTAAATTTCCAGTATGAGGTTTCTTGGTTGTCAAAGAGTAACTGCGCTTGTACGACAGTAGCCATACTGCGAAACATCTGATACAGGCCAGAAGCTGCGTCACTCTTGTGCCAAACCTGCGGATCAATATGATTGACCCATTCAACAGCGCCGCGAAAGTGTAACCGCCAGAACGTCGTCGGCAGCGTTACAGCCTCATTGTAGATACATATGATGATGGATGCCAGCAGTGATACACAATCAGCACCGTTTTTGGAAAGTTGGATGTTTTTGGCCAGGTGAGTAATGCCAATATTGTGGTGTTCTAAAGCAACGTTCTCCAGAGAGCCTTTTGACTCTTCGCACTCTCTCTTCTTTGCGAGATGGAATGCTGACGCTGAGCAGATGAAATGAAACAACGCTGTCGCACCCGTTGACTTTTCCGAGTCCGTGCGGCTACCTTCTAGGGCGATGGGCATCATGGCGCTCCGCAAAGGATTGAGATGGCCAGGTACTGGGTTCAGAGAGTCGCAAAGACTTAGCGTCCAGTGCTGCAGAAGCTCGCAGTGAAGAGCCGGATCAGGAAGAATATCGAGATGACGCGTGATCTTGCGTCTTTGGCCTGTGGTATCGAGTGGAGACGATGTGTGAGATAGTAGATCTGATACTCCGGGCAATGGCAAAGAGCCTGTGCTAACATCGCCAAGGCTGACAGGCGTTGATGTGCTGTGAGTATTGATGTGGTCTTGTGGAATGGAGTTCTGGTCGAACAGTTGCAGCATGGGAACTTGAGGCTGCGAAGTTTGAAGCGAGGCATATGGAGGACCTGTTGTCAAGCCCTGACCCAAAAGCTCATACGAATGGAATATCCGCGTGTTCAAATGACCAGTGAAAGGGCCTTGATCGAGAGGGAAGTGTTGATCGAGGAAGAATGGCGTATTGCTAGATTGATCTTCTGACGGGAGATCAGGAGGCCCCTCATTCAAAGGACCGTCACCATTGCCACTCTCTTCTGGGCTGTTGGAAGAATGGCCATCTTGCTCAGAGACACTCTCCCCAATGGACTCTAAGTCTCTCGACTGGCGTAGTCTTGCCGTAGCCTTTCTCTTCCTCCCTCCTCTTCTAAAGGTCGTCGGGTTCCTGACCGAAGCCCACGATATCCTAACCCCATATCCCTCGCACTCAATACCCGCCTTCTGACAGCGATTGCATTCCGGCTTGGCTTCGTCACATTTCACATGCTTGGCACGACATGTCCAACAGCCTGAGAAGCTCTTTGTCCGGGGTTTGCGGGGCTGGCCCGATGCTGTTCTGCCGGGAGAACGGGACGGATCATCCGACATTACTGAGGTCAGATCATACCGATGCGGAGGTAACGTTATTATGGAATGCGGTGATGAAGAGGTGAGGTTGAATGACGAAGTGGCCAGAATTGGTCTGTCAACGCGAAGTCGAGATCACGTCGTGGTTATGAGCCTGTTTGGGAATGGCGCATTGAATACGCTAACTTGACTTGACCTGCGGGGATGCTCCACTGGTGACAAAGGATCGTTCTGACAATAAAAAAAAAAGGCAAATTTTGTCTATCACAGTTCGTCAAACAAGGCGCAATATATGACCAATACTTCGGAAGGTATCCCGATTCTTATTTTGGGTTAATGGTCGTCAGTTGAAGGGCGCGGGTGGATGACACTGAGCTTGCTCTTGAATGTGCCTCGCTTTGCACGTCCAAGAAAGCTCCGCGCTTCCAGAGCAGATTCTCAGATTGAGACTTGTACAGAAAAAAAGATAGACCTCGATGAGATCTAAAATTAGGAGGGCCAAGGCCCCTTCCCGGACGAAGTCCACCTTACAAATGCTTAATTCCGCTGTGTTTGATGACTGCTTGAATGAAAGTATTGAGAGCTGCCGAACTCCGCGGACGATCTCTTGACCTGGAGATGTCGGTGTGAATTACCGCAAAAGGCTTAGTGTCTATGCCAAGCTCATATCGAATCATCACGAAAGTGAGTGAAAGCTCTTCTTGGCAATTCGAACCGGGCACTGAACGGTGGACCTCTGTCACCATGACCGAATTATTCATTTACAAAAATCGTATGAGCAATACTTCATTTTTTAACTCTTCTTACAATTCTTTCTCAAGCATTTATAATCGACGTCCAGCATTAATCATCTGTTCTGTTCTTCATTTCTCATTCCCCAGATATTCTTGACCTGCAGAACCCTGCACTATCAGCAACTACCGACATCACATCATGACAGGCCTATCCCAGTTGATCAGGCCACAGTCACTGACTCCTCCACTGTTCAACAAGAGATCGCAGAAGTCGCAAGATCAGCCTCCTGCATCTCTAGATTGCCAAATTGATACCTCTCCCATCGTCATTGTCAATGACGATGCTACCGACGGCTCTACTATCTCGGGCTCACTACTCTTCAACGTTGAAGAGGCCATCGAAGTTGAGAGCCTCTTTGCCACATTGCGAGTACATGTAGTTCACAAGAAACCTTTTAAGAGAACATGCAAGGCGTGTAAACACCAGATATCGGAGCTCAAGCGATGCCAGTTCATCACAACGACGACCTCACTGGACCGCGACAATTATGCATATCCGTTCTCTTATCGAGTACCGAGTTACATACCTCCTTCCATGGATACGTCACTAGTTTCTGTCACATACGAATTCCAAGCCATAGCTTCCATACGGCGAACAGGAACACAGTCAAGACTGCCAGAGATCATCACACTCAGCCGCAACCTTCCCGTCGCCAGATCCATACCAGTGCCTAGCAAACATTTGTTATCAACTCGGATATACCAAGCTGCTGGAATCGAGGTCGACTGCAGTTTCGATCCTGTCCTTGACCCCAGTGGGAAAAATCACGTGAAACTCACTATGAGCGGCCTTCGAAGCTGTCCTGACAATGGGGAGGACATTCAGTTCTGGCGTGTATGTAAGGGAACTTGGATGCTTCAGGAGAATATCAAGAGCACAGCCCTACCGTGTTCTCAGCACGCACAAGAATGTCAAGCAGACGAAAAGAGCCACGCACAAAAGAAGACAATTACTCTGGGCGAATCTTCGTTCTACGACGGGTGGGCTACAGACGACAATACAGGAACGCTCAGCATGGAGTTTCTTTTCTTTATCAAGAAAGCCTCTAGGTTCGCCCAAGATACCGGCGATGTCGGCGACACGTCGGTCACTCATTCTCTGGTGCTAGAGCTACAGCTGATGAAGGAGACTTATCCCCAAGGCAACCCAGATCTATCTGTCAGAACTGGAGTAGGCCGCATCCTTCGATCCGAGCATCGGGTCGTGTTGAGCGACTTTGCCAGGGCTTCTGATCATGTTGAGGAGGAGACTTTGCCCTGCTATAATGACCTCCGGTCTGGACCACCACTGTATCGGGAGAAGGATTCTGAGTAGTTGATGGAGCAGGAAAGGGTTATCTTAATCAGAGATTGAAGATGGAGGGAAGGATAGTTGGGAATTCCATTGTTTGAAGCGTAATGATACCCCATTCATTTACTAGTATACTATCAATTCTTCACAATTACCATAATTTTATACACTTTGAGTAGCGCTAGAGTGACGCATGTAAGATCGGTGATTCTTCTTGGGGAACAGTCGGATTTTTGTGGGTTGGTAGCCTAATAAACCCGATTTCACCGCTAATTATTGCTTGTAAATTCACGCTTCTTCACCCTTTGTCTCTACAAGCCAACACAATGACTTCTCAGGAGCGGCGACTGTCTACGGGCGGGGCAGCACCATACAAAGTGTTCATTGGAAAATCCAGCCATGGTGAATTCAAGGACCATGCAGGTCGCTATTACGACGTCGTCGCTAGTCGAGCTGGCCCCAACGCAGCCATCGTGAAGCTAAGCATTCAATTGTATTGTTTGGGTGAACCGGAGTTCGATCCTCACGATATGGGTTCTTCTCTGTTGTATTCAGATGCTGTTGAGGGCTGGGGCAATGCTCGGAACCATTGGCCTCGCGTCGACGTATATACGGGGTTTGATACTATGGAAGAATGCATAGAACACCACCGCCGCGAGAAAGCGTTTCGCAAAGAGGCCATCAAGAAGATGAGGGACGACGCGGTGACGGGACTGTCGGAAGCCGAGGCAAAGGAAATGTTGGCTACAAAAATACAAGGAAAGGAACCTCTTCCGCATATCGTCCCGTCTTGGTGCGAATCGGCCAGATTTGTTGAGGACAGATGGAGTGTTGAGGATCGTTACAAGAGCTGGATCTTCATCATACCGGCAGGTCGATCCTCATGGGAAGACGTGATACACCATGGACTTTTGCAAGCCAAGTTTGATCTCGACGTCTCTCCCGCCATGTTCTACTCCGAGTCACCGATGTTTGGGCTTACTCCGGAGGGAGGAGAAGGCTGGGTTCTCGTTGAGAAGACTGGTATTGAAAGCCTCGAGCCTGTTAATATTCTGCACCTCTGCGCTAGAGAGGAGCAAGGGACATCAGACCGCACCCCGGGAAGTGATGCGACACTGTTTAGTGCTTGGTGCGATGCTACAATGCAGCTTCGAGATTGTACTTACAAGCCGCAGGGATGCAAGGGTTGTCGTACCAATGAGCCACATGATTTCTGTGAGCAGGAGATGGATGAGCACTTTAATGATGAGGATGGGAAGTGTGTTGCTTGTAGAAGAGAAGAAGAGGAACAGAATACTCAGCCTACATTGGATGCTGTTGGCTCATGAAGCTTCGCTTACCAGTCATTTCGGCTTACGCCAAGACACCGAGATGACATCCTTTTACTAATGCATTTATTTACATAGCTATGCAATCGAAGTGAAGAAACATGACCTCAAACCCGGTCGGGTTTAACGGATGTTTCTCAAAGTTCTAAATCCTCATCATCACACAGATGACGTCAGCAATGCTGACGGTGAGAAATAAATAAAGGACACCGACTTCCAGCTTACGACCACTTCTCCTCTCACCTCTAAAACCTCAGGATAATCATGGCAGACCAGGCTACTCCAAAGTTCGAACTCATACGCTTGGAAACCAAGCCAAGTGCGCAGCTATCCTACAGCTTCACTGCTCCTACGGCGACGAAGCCGACCAAACCGACTCTCATCGTCTTCGTCAACGGCCTCGGCGCACCACAAGCAGGATGGATTGCAACAATGAACAAACTCAAAGAAATTTCTCCTCAAGGTCTTCCGGCAATGTTGACCTTTGATCGCTTCGGACAGGGCCAGACTACTGACCGTGATCCCAATGATGAAGGAGCCGCTGATCCAACTCACGCCCATGACTGTATGGCTGTAGTACGAGATATTCGACAGCTTATGACTCAAATCCTTAAAGATAGACTGAGCATCGATGATCCAGATAGCTCCAAGCTTTTACTGGTTGGAAACTCGATCGGATGTGCTCTGACTCGTCTCTACGCTGCTGAGTACCCGGGTACTGTAGCTGGAGCCATTCTTCTTGACAGCGTCCTGACAGACACGGATTTTGTCTCCGTCTTCCCTGATCCAGATGCTGAGGGCTTTGACCCTGCTAGTCTTCCTCCGGGCGTCACAGCAGACAATTTGCGTGTCGCCCGAGAGGAGACTGCGAAGCGCTTTCATCCAAGTGTCGGCTCCAGAGAGGGTCTCAGCCGAAAGAACCTTACTCAACTGCTTGGTCGCTCAGACTCACCAGCTATTCCCAAAGTCGACGACAAAGACCCTTATATCACTGTTCTGGGCCATGATTTTAACTACTTTGCGGAGCGCACAGGAACAGACTTCAACATTCCTGGAGAGGCTGTGCAGGCTTACATGAATACTTACTGGCACCATTACAATGAGGGGCTAGCAAAGTTGACGAGCTCGGAGAGAAGTGAGGGGCCTATTCAGGTGCCGAATGCAGGCCATTTTATTCAACTGGATAATCCTGGGTTTGTGGCCGAGAAGGTACACGATATGTTGCAGAAACTGGCTGAGGAATAAGCTGCGGTGCCTTCTAACTATAAATACGACTCTATCTGAGAGCGTGGGTGGCTGGGTGTCTAGTGCGTGAATGCATACTTGCTCTTTGCCCTTATCTTGTGTCCGTAAAAGTACAGCACGTAAGGAATCGCTGCCAATACCACCGCAAAACATGCCATGATAGTCAATGTATAATGGGTGCCCATGTTTTCGTAAAACGGAATGCCCACCACCGTCATCCCTCCGGCTATCATATAACGCGTCAAGGACACGAATGTTAGTGCCGATGCCGAGTATATCTCGTAAGAGTCGATGATGTACATGTACACGCAGATAAAGATACCCGTGACTCCGTATCCGAACAGAACAACAGAGAAGATGGCGGACCAGATACTAATGCTAGAGTAATTGGTCCAGCCAAGCCAGAAAAGCGAGATGGGGATCGCAGCAGCTGCACCGAGCATGGCGTACCAGAGACGTATCTCAGGCTTGAAGTGGCCGTCTCCTTGGTTCTGGGTCGCTCGGAGTGTCTTGCGGTAGACGATAGGAACAAAAGCGAAGTTGATCTGCGTCCCGAGAAACATGGCGATGAAGATGATGTTGGCGAGTCCCTGATCGAGGCCGTACGTCTTCTCAAAGATGTATGGCCAACCAACGAGGAAAGTGAACAGTACGATGTACAAAACACTGATGTATAGTGTCATGGCGACGATGATGGGCTCAGTCAGCATCAGAAAGGGCCGCGTCATGCTGACCTTCAGTCTGCTAAAAAGACTAGCATCAGCAATCTCATGCTGGCATCGAAACCGGTTGTCTCCCGTAACCCTTCGATAATGAGCAGCCTTCCACTGTAAAAGAAGCGGGCCGTAAGTCTCAGGCATGAAAAGCAGGACAAGTAAAAGAACAAGTCCTGAGGCGATGAGCATGGTCCACTCGGTCCATCGCCAGCTGACTGCGCTTGACGGTCCGATATAAGCACCCATGACAGCACCCAGCATTGGACCGCCAAAGCCAGCAACGGCATACAGAGGAAAGGTCCAGGTCTTTTCAAGACTATTGTACATATCTGCTATTGAGCCTCCAGAGCAAACGAGTGGTGTTGAAGCTGAGCAGCCAGCCAGGAAGCGAAAGGTGATCTGGGCGCCGAAGTTGGGCGCGAGTGCTGACGCCATGATCCAGATCATGAAGATAGCCATGGAGAAGGTGTAAACTGCGTTTCTACCAAAGGTCTCGGAGAAGGGGCCTGCTATAAGTGAACCGAGGCCCATCCCAACCAAGTAAAGGCCTGGAAATGTTAGCTTCTGTTGGGCACTGGGAGAGGACCAAACATACCTGTCGCGAGCGATTCAGCAACTTCACTTACCCCGAGTGACTCTGCAGCCTGAGGAAGAACAGTCGCATCAATTCCGGATGCTGCTCCGACAAAAAGAGCAATGATGGAGATCTGCAGAGTCACACCAATCCGTCTTCCGATAGACCAGTTGTGAGGATCAAGAGGATCGTCAGGGCCCTCCCAGTTGACCACGAAAATCTTTCCATCATGGCCTTTGTCGTTCTTGTGATCCTGTACATTGATTCCCGTGAGTACCTGGCCTAGAGCGATACCTCCGGACATGCACTGTCGAATGGTTTGTGCCGTCACAGTCTGCTGCAGCGACTGCTCGGGTATCTCATCGCTGGAAGCACAAGTATCGGCTTCCGTGATTGGCGGTAACCGTCCAGGATTTGGCTCATCCTTTTCATCCAAGGACTTTCGGCCTTCAAGTCCAGCTTCAACATCGTGTCCGGCATTCGGTTGCGTATGCTGCCTCGCCCTGCCGATATCACGATCAATCTGTGCCTGAGCGGCAGCACCAGCCCTTCGATACTGCAGAAGCGATTGCATCTTTCTCTATCTCAAAAAAGGTGCAATGTGAGGGAGGCAACTTTGCTTTTAAAAATTACATTTTTGGCGAGATTTGTCACGGAGATAACGCTAGCGGGCCGAATAGTTCACGAATTCCCACATTTCGACGGTAGTTGGGCTTCGAGTGCGTCATACGTTACCAATGACAATTTGGTGATAAGAAGAAATGGAGTCGTCGCGGGCAGATCTTTCCGACTGAAGATCCGGAAGTAGATCGGAAATACGTACGATCCGTTCCTCTCGGACAGAAGCCCGCTCGCTCAATCGAATTGGCCGTCGATTACCGAGGTCGTATTGGAAATCATTGGCGATATCACTTTTTCGCATAACGTTAACAAGGCTTCGAGAACATCGTCGGGGAAGTGTCGAGTAATTTCCGGCGACTGAGACAGGGAATAAAGATTCTGGGATGAAGCAAATCCTTCAGCCTTGGCGGTCCATCACCAGAGAAGATTGTCATGCTAAAGAGACGACCAGGTTACACAATCTCCTGTCAGGATGGATGCATCGTCAAACATTGACGGGCGCTCGTTTTCTATCCCTGGGTATATAATACTCCATCGTATACAGTACCTCGTTCCAAAATGAGACAAATTCAGGTCTATTCAAAAGGCCAAAAGCGAAATTCCAGGTGACGGAATGTGAGGTTCAGGGTAAAACCTCATGTCACCAAGTTTGCCCCGGGGGTTAAATTAATATTGGAGAAACCACTCCGCATCCCATCACATCACATCCCAACCCATCCCATCCCATCAGACGTTTCAACGTAAACTGTCAAATCGGAGTTTAAAATAACACAGACCAAGAGGCACGGTCTCTTCAATTTCCATCCTCGGAACAGATTGAGTCAGTTCGGTTCGACATTGGGAAATAACGCCATGTCGCACGACTCCAAACTCTTCAGCGGGTATCTCGACCAAGCCACCCGGTGTCAGCGTTCACTCCGAACCAACGCCAGTGCCAGGGATTAAGAGAGAAAAAAACGACGAAGGATCCAGGCTAGACAAGGGAAAAAGGTTTCCACGCGCAGGATGCAACGCACACTCAGCGAGGCACAGCGCATAATAACGGTGGAGAAATGCAAACCCGCGTACTCTCGTGTTGGTTGTGAGCTGCTGGCAAATAGCAACCAACAGTGGCTGAACACCTTCAGTTAGCGGCCGGGTCTGCTGCCGCTTTAGCTTCCCCCTGCCTTTCTAGCGCTTCAATCAGCAACTTGCCAGAACAACCTCTTCCCTGCTGATGCATCCAATCGTCCTTCATATGGTCTTCTCTTCGCCTCTGCGGACCCGACGCCTGTCCCGCCAGCTGAGTGCGGAGGGATCCCCCATTAAATATCTCACCAAAGCCAACTGAAACATGCAGACAAACAGTTCAGCTTATTCTGTCACTTCCCCCCCAAAATGAACGGATCAATCAGTCCACTCTGGGGTACCCCCCCTTCGCTAACTGATCACCAACACTCCAGATCGGTCTACCCCGGAATCCCTCCACGGGGTAAAGAGGCCCGTTGTGACATGACAGTCTGATATTAAGCTTAGCCGCCCCTCGTTTGTGTCGTGCCTTTTCCCTTTTGCTTTGTTTGCAAGGTTTCCCCGACTTACCATGGTTACTTTCGACACGACCACGATCGCACGTTCAATATGGTCGACCCTGTCTATTACGAGCTGAGCTGGTCGATCCTCAGCACGATCGGGATCGCCAATGTTTTGTTTGGTCTTATGGTCGCTGGCATCACAAGCTTTGGTCCCGTTTCTATTGTTCCCATCGTCACGTCTGCGGCTGGCGCTATAGCCAACGGGCTTTGCTACTATGCTTTTTATGAAGAGGGTAACTCCACTACGACCAAGGCTGTAGCCTCCGTGTTCGC